GGAAAGAGAGAACGCTCATACATATCTCTGCTGCAAACAGTGTCATCCCAACTTCAAGGTAAAATAGAGATGAAGGTGGGAAGGGATGGGGGGAAGAAGAATTGCCAGTGGTTTATCACCAGGCCAATATCGAAAGTGAAGGATTTGTGGGTTGATTTCTTTTGGAGGTGGCTGGGGGGGGACGGGGAAGAGCAACCTTATTTCATGGGAGAATCTGTAAATAAATGAAAAATAACACACCGATTTTGCACTTGTACATAAACTATACAGTAGCGTGCAGAACATGGAAAAGATTTAAAGTGTATATAAACCAGAAAATTATTGAATGTATTTTTGATGCATTTTAAATGATGTATGAGTTTTGTCTTAATAACTTCTTCATATGATGAGCATTCGATAACTTTCCAGAGCTTTAAAGAAACATCAAATTATATCCGTGATATCTTGCAGTATAAAGCAGGGAGGCATAACTTGACTTTTATGTATTCAAATGCATTTCACTTAAATGTATAAGCGAAGTAAAGTGCAGCTCTTCTGTTTGAAAGGGGAAAAAACCCAACGCTTGATGACAGGTAATAAATGTACTTAAAGTAGTCATTACTTGGAGGATTAAGTCAGCAGTTTAAGCCTCTACCATTAAGATTGTGCCGGTGATTTCCATTCAAAATCACTCTTTGCAAGCGTTTCTAACTGGCTGAAATTCAGCGTTCAAGGTCTCAACCCTCAGAACGTTTTTATTCTTGGAGAGTAGCCTTTTAAAAAAACTAATAAAAACTCGGAAATGTTGTAGCCCTTTTTTTTTTCTAGAAAGCGACAGTGCCATTGGATCTCCAAATAACATACATTTTTCAGGTTTGCCGTTTTCCATTCTTTTTAGCTCAGGATTTTCTCTGGGCTGTTGTAGCAGGAGTGACAGGAGACCCTGCCGCGGTGTGGGTCAAGGTGTTGGGTACGAGAAGGCTCATGGGACACAGCTTTTGAGTCATTGCCACTCTTCCTGGGCTTAAAATGCGCTGTATTGAAATTGCCAAAATAAAGCTGTACGTGATGGGGTAATGCCTGTGAGTAGCATCAAGTCGTAGCGACTGATGTACCAAAAAGTGATGGGGTGGCACCCGAAAAGCACGATGGCCCCTGATGGGAGGTACGCGCTTCTTAGGGCGGGTTTCCATACTAAATACTGCTCAGAAACATCATTTTCTCTGCCGTGAACGTTTACCAAAATGCATAGCCTCTGGGTTTATAGCACGGTTTTAAAATGGCAGCTCAGCTTGCTTAGCCCTAAATGAGCTGAAATGAGCTTTTGGTGGAATCCCCTCGCTCAGGAGGCTGGAGTAGAACTTTCACCTTTTCCCGTGACCCGCTGAAAGTCCAGCGCCGCAAAGACGAGGCTGGTTCTCCATCCTTAACAGCTCCTGAGGTTACCAATCAAATACTTGTGTTTTCCACGAGACCCTGAGTTGGGGACGGAGCATCAGCTGCGCCTCAGAACCCGCAGAACCCTTTATCCCTGCGAACGGGGGGGATTCACCGGCGCTGAGCTTGCGAGAAAGCAAAGAGCGGCCGCTCCATGCCGGGAGCAACTTTTAAACTCCTCCATCCCGCTCGCGGCACGCTGCTGATGTCCCTTCTTTTCCCGTTTCCTTCATACCTTCATTTGGGAATATTCCAGGGGAGGGGGGTTTGGGTTTTGGGAGCCTCCGGAGCGAAGCTGGGGAGGGAGCCGCGCGTGTTTCAGATGGAGAGATGCTCGCCAGCGTTCGGGGGCAGCGGGAAGGGAGCGCTCCGCCCGCGTGGCTCGTTTTCGGACACGAATTTTGGCAATTCTAGTCCAATTCGTGCTTGTTTTGTGTCGGTGGCTGCTTAAATTTGACGAGTTTCCCAGGCTAGGAATACTACAATAATGTATATGTGCTGGTTTTTTCTGCTTCTGCACCAGGGCAGGGTTTGTTCAGTTATTACTTTGTTCTAACACTACACGTGGACTATTTCTGTGCGTCTTCCAGGTACTGGAGTTCTTTAGCCATTACCTCTCCATTTATCATTGTCTCCACAAACCTCGCCAGAAGAGAGAAGAAAAAAAAACAAAAAATCGTGGAGGAGTGAAACATACGTCAGTCCATTTTTGTAAAAAAAAAAAAAAGAAAAAGGGGGGAAAAAGAAAATAAAAATAGAGTTTTGTATTACTCTGAAATTTGTGCACAATAAATGTTCTTTACACAAAGATCCTTGAATTAATTGTATTCTGGATTTTTTTTTCTTTGTTCTGTAATTATTTACGATTCTTACCTGTGTTCAGATTTGAGCTTAGTTTGTTAATATGTATAATTTAGCATTTATTGCATTCATATGTAAATAGGAGCAAGTATTGTAAACTATTTCATTGCCGGGGGTTGTGGGTGTTATACATACACACATTTAGGACTGCAGTTTTTGGTATAATTTTTTGTATTGTAAAATAACAGCTAATTTAAAGCAGGAACGAGAAAATTATTGGGAGGTCTGTGCATTTTAAATACAAATGTGAAGTACATGTATATAAATAAAAGTAAATAATGCAAATCTTTCCTCTGAAATAAAAAGTAGATGATCTGGTTAAAATGTTTTTCCCCTCGCTTTTTCTTCTTCTTTTTTTCCCCCCCCTTTCTTAAAATAGGGGGAAGAAGTAACTCAAGGTCCTTT